AAAAAAAGGGGGAAATTTTCAGTTATTATTTCAGTACAATTTGGTTTGCAAGTTCAAATTATACATTTTTGAGGGGGGGGGGAATTAAAATTTTCTGGTTTGGTATCTTCTCACTAACACATTTTCTTTAGTTTCACAGGGATAGCTGAGTTAGTCTGTAACAGGAAAAACTTAAAAAACAACAAATAGTCTGGTAACACTTTAAAGACTAACGAAACAGGTACAGTAAACTTCCGATAATCTGGCACCTTTAGGACCCAGGGGGTGCTGGATTATCAGATATGCCAGACTATCAAAAGGGGGGGCTATGAGGGATCTGGGGTGGGGTGCGGGGATGCCACCCCAGACCCCTCATAGCTCCCCCTTCCGATAGTCTGGCATATCTGATAATCCGGCACCCCCTGGGTCCCAAAGGTGCCGGATTATCGGAAGTTTACTGTAGATAATATTCCTCGTCTTTGGTGTTTCTTATCTTCATTTTGCAAATGGGGCCAAGAAAGATTCATGACTTCCTGAAGTCACACAAGAAATCGACAGATAGGAACTTAATCCAGATCTCCTGACTCCCTGTTTGGTGCCTTACCCACAAGACCATCTTTCCTCTCTTCCAGCTAATGTCGAATCTGCCCTACAAGCTTGGCTGTTCTTTGTGTTTTTCGTCAGAAAACACCTCTCCCTGTCCATCCCACTGCCACACTAGCCTTTTTGCTCTTAAAAAATTCCAATGAGTGCTATGCACTGGCGTAGCTCCACCAGTAAACAAGGCTGCAATCACCGTTTCCAATGTGTAACTCTCAGAGTAGGACTGGATGACAAAGTGGTAATAATGCCAGTGGACAGCAAGCTATCTAGCCCGTCTAGATCTTCCCCTATTGCATCTACACTGGTGTTAGCAACACAGAGACATTTTGGGAGCAAAAGGTTTGTACAGATACAGGTATGGGGAGCTCTTATGCTTTTGGATTGGAGCTGACTAGACCAAACTTGGTCTAATCTCTGAACAATTCAGTAAAAACACTTCTGCATCTGTGTAGTGGGTTCCTGCCCCTAACATCAGGATGACTCAGCCGAAAATCCCTGTATCCCCAGGTTGGGTGCAAGGCTCTGCCACACTTTTACACTGCATTGTAAACTTAGCAGCTACACATGCAGGCTGTGTCTAGACTGTCCAGTTTTTCCAGAAAATCAGCCGCTTTTCCGGAAAAACTTGCCAGCTGTCTACACTGGCCACTTGAATTTCCGCAAAAACACTGACTTCCTAGTGTAAGAAATCAGTGCTTTTTGCGGAAATACTTTGCTGCTCCTGTTCGGGCAAAAGTCCTTTTCCGCAAAAGTTTTGCGCAAAAGGGCCAGTGTAGACAGCAGAGATTTGTTTTGCGCAAAAAAGCCCCGACTGCGAAAATGGCGATCGGGGCTTTTTTGTGGAAAAGCACGTCTACATTGGCACGGATGCTCTTCCGCAAAAAGTGCTTTTGCGGAAAAGCGTCTGTGCCAACCTAGATGCTCTTTTCTGAAAATGCTTTTAACGGAAAACTTTTCCGTTAAAAGCATTTGCGGAAAAACATGCCAGTCTAGACGTAGCCGCATTGTTTTTCCACTAACAGCTCTCTTATGGTGGCACAGATCATGATCCCTACACTATGCCATCTTGCAGTATGTTTGATTCCTCATATGACTGGCAGCCATCATTGCTGCTGGGGGAGCTGGTCAAACACTACTTCTGCCCTCCTGCTGTCTTTTCTTGGACGATAAAGATCTGAATTACAACCCACACAAAGTATTCTGTATGCCATGCCAAGTAACAAAGAGCCCTGAAGGTAAAAAGGCTTCTGGTTACGCAGCTGTGTTGCAGAATTAAATTACAGCTATCTGAGCAAATTATCCCAGTAAAGGGTAGTCAAGAGCCTCTCTCTGATAGCTGAAATGATAATGGAAGCAGAGCTGTTAATACTGTGTGAACGGGAGCTGCGTGTGGGATGTGTCCTCACCCTTGGCCCTGTGCACCTGGCTCTGATGTCAACTGCTACCACCCTGTTGGATTACCTCCCCCTCTAGGCAAAAATGAAACCAGAGAGCTTCTCTTAGATCTTTCCCACTTTTCTGCCAGAGCACTTGGAAGCAATGAAAGAAATTGGATTCATTTTCTCTTCTCCAAGCATTTTGAGCCAATATTCCAAATTATGTACTATTAGCTCTGGGCTGAGATAAAGCAGATTCCAGCCATGTCTCTCCTAGATGGTCTTTTTCTACTCTATGGACGTATTGATACAGGGACTTTAGTGAACTGCTGTGACTGGCTGGAATGTAAACCTTCCTTTGGCAAACTCTAAACACTGAGGTTATTGTAATTGTGGCTCTGCACCTTGGCTCTTGACTGAGGCTAGTCCACTGCTCTACACTGTCTTCAGTGCACCATTGCAACAGAGATACCCCAGGTGTATCATATGCATAGCTTCAACCTGCATCAGAATTTAGCATCGGGGAATGATCATTCAGTGATTCTTCAGTCTATAAGGACCATTTTAAAACTATCAAATCAAGAGAAGAATTTATTAGAGGGCTCTGTTAATAATTAAATGTGGTAAAATAACATTTCAATTGCAAGTCTTTTGTTTCTATAGCATATTAAATACAACACGCAGCTCCCGTTCACAGCCTTAAATACTGATTAACAGATTCCCCAATTACCCGGCAGGGTACATCATTGTATAGATTAAAGTACCATCCAGTTATTTCTTTATTGCACAATGAAAGCCTATATTCAGAAAAAAATATCATTTGACAAGCTTGCTCTATTATTGTGAATATAGTCATAGATAAATAGGCTGTACCAAAAGTCCTGAGGACTGAACCTTTTGTTCTGTGTGCAGTTACAGCATGAGTAGCGCAAGTGCACACTTCCTTCACAATGCCATAGTAACATGCCTCAGCCCTTCATGAGAAGGGCCAGATCTGAGGGGCAGGCAGTCTTCTCTCTGCTACAGCTGCCAACTAAGATGCCAAGGTGACGGTGGTTTTTTTGAGGCAGACACATCTCAACAACAAACTGTACTGGGACTGACAACTCATTTCACACAGGCAACCAAACAGTTCTGAGATGATCGACAATCACATTTTTCTAGTGCATTTCACGATTTGCCCACGCTACTTGAAGAACCTCCCAATTTCCCTGTAGCCACCTCTTTGGTGGAATATATCAACTAATTAACACTACATAGTGGTGTAAAGTGGGGAGCAAATGCAATGCATCCAGTTGAAATGGCCAGGGGAATTTAGGAAGGCAGTTATTTACATTGGCATTTAAGCAGGTCACAAGTAGTAACAATCCTATTCTTATTAAAAATAAATCATAAGATGAACACAAGAGGACAAGAAAAAGAACTCTTGCTTTATGCTTCATGTGGAAGAGGGGGTGAATCACTAAAACCACTTCCCATTGCATCTAGGAGCAATCTAATAGCCACCCATCCAAGAAATGAGCCAACCCACACCTGTTTGGCTTGCAAGACCCACAGAACTACACACTGCAAGAACTACACACTTTCAGTTACTACTTTCCTGACTACTATACAAACCAATGGTCCAAGAAGTGAAAGACTCCATACCCCAACACCCAACACCAATCATCAACTCCTTTAAGAACTTCATTCTTCTCTCTTTAGTAACATGTTACTTTTACCTTCAGAAGTCTTCCATTCGCTGTACCTAGGAACACCACGGTGTAATTATTAACACTGGAAACAGCCACGGAAGTGAGGCCCTGGTATATGAACAATGGTTCTGCCTTTATGGGTTGCTGGATGGCCAAAGGATGTTGAAGATGGGCTGCTCCACAGTCTAACTGCTCTGGCTGCAGCTGCAAAGAAACATTTGTGTCAAAGTATGGCAACAAAATAAAACAGTTCCCACAGAGAATATACCCTTTGAACAAAACAACCCATTAAGGGTTTCATGATATACAAAGAGAAATCTCACCATTGGATATTAAATAAAAAATATTAAATAACTAGTTTCAATTGAGAAAATGGATGTAATAGTGGAACTTTCTTTCTCATTAGATCTGCTTTCTGGGGACCCAATCCTGACCACTGCATAGGCTCAAGAAAGAGGGCTTTGTGCTACAGGAGTATACTGGGACTGAGGGAAACGGATCCTTCTGCCCATGTTTCAGGGCACCCCGGGAGCCCTTTGGGGATCAAACCTACAGCTTCTGGTCTGCACAAGCACAAGGCCTCTGTATTCCCTAGCTCTACTAGTCAGAGCCTTATTCCTGACAATAATGTGGAGAGAGCCCCATAGCACTCAGGGGAGCAGAGTTCCCTGTCAAACTTCTCCATTATTGGGATACCTGTTTCATATTACCTCTCACATTCCTCTTGCAGCTCACAGGTTTTGTCCCTAAGGGTATGTCATGGCTCCATCCCCCAACGTGACACTATGCCTGCAGAGATGGGGAACCGGCTAACCGAATAAACTCTGCAAAACCTGTCTCTGTGATTCCCAGAGACTAACTTACTCAATCTCAGTCCCTCTGAGATTCAATAAAAAACCACCTGCTTCCTCACTGCCACCACTCAAGTGATTCCAAGAAAATCAGGGAAGAGATCACTTAGGAATCTTGTCCCTAAGATAAAGCTCTCCCCCCAACCCCAATCTCTGTTTTGCTTGGAGTTGGGAAAACAGAGGGAATCCACAGACAACAACAGACTCTTCCCTTGTAAAGAGGCACTTAATTCTAAGGACACAACAGTCAACCAATAAAAAGAAAATTATTTTATTATCATAACAAAGCTACTGTTGCAAGCATAGTAAATTGGCTAGGTGGTGAATGGCCACAATTTGATATATATCCTCAGGGAAAGTCCCAGGGCTGTAATCCTTAGTTACAAAAGAGAAAAACAATTAGCCAGCTCAGACATCCAAATCCCCAAACCAGGAAAACAATAAACCCTGATGAACTATCTACACTTTTCCCTGCTTACACCTTACAAGAAGTCTGTTCTTGGAAAAAGAAAGAATCTCCCATCTCCCTCAATACCTGGGAGAAACTACTCTGATCTCAAAGAAGAGAGAGAGAGAGAAAAAAAACCCCTCTTTTCCAGTTTGAAATTCCTACCTGCATTGTTATTGGCTGATTTTCCAACCCTTTGCTAGGTACCTGAGTTAACCTCTTAGTCACCGGGTGCTGGTCAATACTCCTTCTGATCGTGACAGGATAGGTCTACACTTCAGCGCCATTTCGGGATATGTCTGGTATCGCAAAATAACGTTTTCCATATCTTTATAGCACACCCGTTATTTTGAAATGCAATCGAAATAACGGGTGTGCTACTCCGACATCCCGGTAAACCTCATTCCACGAGGTTTAAGGGACTTGTCGGAATAGCGGACTATTTTGAAATTTAGCACTGTGTAGACTATCTCGAAATAAGCTACACAATTTGCGTAACTCAAATTGCGTAGCTTATTTTGAGCTAGTGCCGCAGTGCAGACAAAGCTTAAGGCTGTGTCTACCCTGGGCCACTTATTCCAGAAAATCAGCCGCTTTTCAGGAATAAGCTGCGAGCTGTCTACACTGGCCCTTGAATTTCCAGAATAGCAACGATGCTCTACTGTACAAAATCAGCCGCTATTCCGGAAAAACTATTCTGCTCCCGCTCGGGCATAAGTCCTTATTCCGGAACACTGTTCCGGAAAAGGGCCAGTGAAGACAGCTCAGTAGTCTTTTCCGGAAAAAAAGCCCCGATCGCGAAAATGGCGATCGGGGCTCTTTTCCGGAAAAGCGCGTCTACATTGGCCACAGACGCTTTTCTGGAAAAAGGGCTTTTCCGGAAAAGCAGCCTGCCAATGTAGATGCTCCTTTTCCGGAAAAACTGAAAACGGAATAGTATTCCATTTTAAGCAGTTCCAGAAATTCATGCCAGTGTAGACACAGCCTAAGGGTATGTCTGCATACTGCAATGTAAGCCCAGTGTTAGCAGAACTCAAGTTACCAGACCAAAGTTTGTTATATTAGAGCTTCAATATCTACAGGCATTTATAACCACCAGTTAGGCATTGTTGAACCCTGGAGTTAACCATTCTGGAATATATGGAATCACTCAGACCTGAAGACAACTAGCAGCCTAGCAATTTTTTTCTTTTTTGCTTTAAAATGAAAGAATAGGCAGAACAGTTTTTTCATACAATGATCCTGAACAGCATTTTCATATGAGTAAACTTTGTCAAGACTGAGGGCTGCAAACTTAGCATCCAATCCTGCTCCTACTGAAGTCAAGGGCAAAGTTCCTACTGAGTTTAGTGGGATGGATTCTGATCCCCTTAATCATATTAAATAGTACCTCATTTCGATGGGACTATCTGTGAAGTAAGGTGCTGCTCATTGTCAGTAAGAGTGTCAGAAGCTGGATTGGGTCCAAAAGCTTGAGTGGCAAACATAGACACTCTATCCTGGAATTATAAAATTAGATCAGAGCAGAGAGAGTAAAGATTTTAATTCTTACGGGTTCCTGAGGGTCTTATGCCAGCTGAAAGGGGATATAAAGCCTTGGGCAAAGAATTTTCTCCTTCCTCTGAATCCAGAGAGAACAAGCAGCTGACAATAGTTAGATTGAAAAATACTTTTACAAAAATCCACTTCCCTTGCACTCTGTCTGTAAAGCTTGTTATCTTCTATGATCTTTATAGATTCTCTTTGTTTTGCTGTCCCACAGGCCAGAGAGACTCGCTCCTTTAAACTGTGTGGGGGGGAAATCCATCCACATAGTTTCAGCACAGCACAAGAGTCTTACACAACTCAGCTACTTCCATCAACCCCCATATGCTGCCTGGCTGGGACGGTTGCCTAACCAGAAAATGGCAAGAAGCCCTGCGAGGAGCGGAATCGGCTGTTTCTTGGTCTCAGGGATTCTGAGTGGGAGGGAGGGGGAGGAGGGTAGAGCAGCAATACTGAAGAAGCCTACAGCAAACAGGGAGACATGCTGGGTCACAGAGGGATCTAACATAATGCAGGTTAGGGTCTGGATTGCTTGTCACTGTTGGATCCACTTCTCTCTAGCCCTCTGAACTAGGGGGCCGTGTCTACACTGGCCACTTATTCCGGAAAATCAGCCGCTTTTTCGGAATAACTTGCCAGCTGTCTACACTGGCCCTTTTCCGGAAGAGTTTTCCGGAAAAGGACTTTTGCCCAAACGGGAGCAGCATAGTTTTTTCCGGAAAAGCGTCCGTACCAATGTAGACGCGCTTTTCCGCAAAAAAGCCCCGATCGTCATTTTCGCGATCGGGGCTTTTTTGCGGAAAAGCGCGTCTACATTGGTACGGATGCTTTTCCGGAAAAAGTGCGTCTACATTGGCAGGATGCTTTTCTGGAAAAGCACTTTTTCCGGAAATACTTATAAGGGAAAACTGTTCCCTTTTAAGCATTTCCGGAAAATCATGCCAGTGTAGACGTAGCCGGGATATAAGTGAGTAGTTGAGTGGAGTACTTGACTACTCTGTATTAGAGGTAGCAAGGGGGGTGGGTATGAACAGGAGCTGATGCTGAGGGGATCCGGATTAAAAGCCGGTTCCCCCCAGAACCATCTGCCCTCCCCTGCCACTGCCTCTATCAGAGGCAGCGGGGGGGGGGGGGGGGGGGGAGTGGGGGGGGGTCCTGGCCTCAGGGGCAGCAAGGTCGGGGACAGGAGCTGGTGCTCTGGGGAGCCAGGTTAAAAGCCAGTTCCCCTCAGCACCATCTCCAGGGTGCTCACCTCAGCCCCTCCCCCTCCTGCAGCCCCTATCTGCAGGGGTTCCAGTGGGGAGCTGGGCCCCCCCGAGGACAGGGGCTGTTTCTGCCAAGCAACCCTCGTTCACAGTGGCCAGGGGCTGCAGGACTCAGTGCGAGCTGGGACGGAGCAGTCCCTGCTCAAGTGGGTCCGGGACCACTATGCCTCTGCATTTTAATAAGAGCCATCAGGCTCTTATTACATTTAAGATGCAGAAGCACAGCGGTCCTGGAGTGAGCCTTCCCTTATCGACTACGCCAGAGGTTCCCAACCACTGGTCAGTGGCGTAGCGAGGGGGGAGGCGGTTGCCCCTGCGCGCCATGCTGGGGGGACGACACCAGTTTAGCTGCCAAAAGTTATGTTGTTGTTAATTATTTTATGATTATTTCCTATTTAGTATATTTTCCAACAGGCAACTGTGAAAAGGTTTCAGCGAAATCGTCCTATTTACTTTTTGAAGGTTTCGCTGAAACCTTTTCACAGTCGACTGTTGGAACATATACAAAATAGGAAATAATCATAAAAAAATTAACAACAATGTAACTTCTGGCAGCTAAATTGGCACCCCCCCCCATTCATGGTGCCCGGGGGCAACAGCTCCGCCCCTGTTCCCACCTCGGTACGCCACTGGTCTGTAGCCCGGTGCTGGGCTGTGAACTGTTGGCTGCCGCGCACCACCAGGCCATACCCAGGGGGGCATGACCAGGGTATGGTATGGCCCTGGGAGCAGGCGGATGGGGGCTTAGAGGAGGCGGTGTGGCGCCTGCGCGGTTGTTAGCAGAGGTGTCCCCCGGATTGTTAGCAGAGGTGGAGGCTGTAGCTGTGGGCTGGATGCTGGATTTCACCAGCGCTTGTGAGTTCAATCCTTGCGGAGGCCATTTAGGAATTTGGGGCAAAAATTTGTCAGGGATGGTACTTGGTCCTGCTGTGAAGGCAGGGGACTGGACTCAATGACCTTTCAAGGTCCCTTCCAGTTCTAGGAGATAAGCAATCTCCATTAATTTTCCGTGGAATGTACATGGGACAGAGATGAGACACAGTGCTGGGTGAGAAGGGTGGGACTGTGGGAAGCGGGTTCCAGCTGCTCAGTCAG